ATATATATATATATATATGCAAAAAGGAAGAAATTACACATACATATATGCATACGTATATTATACGTACCGCCCGAGCAACCACTGAGTTCGGAGACGCCGCAGGACTTGGCGAGGCGGAAAGCCTGGTCGGTGGTGACGTTGAAGGCCTTCAATACGCTCTGGTCGTTGAGCTCCGCACAGAGGCACTGCAGGTCGGCGTCCACCGCCTGCCTCAGCGGCTCGCAGCACGTCTCCGGCGGGGGACGCGTCGAGTTCACGTAGGCCGCGCAGGGGATCAGGCTCGACACGCACGGCGGCGGCAACTGCCCCTCCGCCCCCCCCAGATATCGCCACCACCACCATCACCACCATCATCGTCCACTTCGCCATTAGAGGAACACCTCTCTCTCTTCTGCGTGGAGGCAAATCCAAAAGAAGAGAGATGAATAGACAAAGAGAACTACGCGCTCTCTCTCTCTCTCTCTCTCTCTATATATATATATATATATATATATATATATATATCTTTGTGTCTTGTGGAGGCAACTAAGAACATAAAGAAATGCTTTAGTTGAAGCTCTACAACATGCAAAGTAGTAGTTATGAATGGACAACTAAGATGTATATGAATCATTAATCACATCAGTACAATGGAATACTGTCTCCTCAGAGAGAGAACGTTTCCTTGCGTGCTTGATGGGATAGCCAGCCAACTACAGCATAGACACGGACATGAAGCTTGCGGAAATGGTGGAAGGGGGCGACTTCTCGCGGTCGTGCATGCCAACAAATTGCTTGCGTGCGTTGGAAGGTTCATTTTGGAAGAGTAGGATTCTTCGTGCATGGAGTTCTCCAACAACATTCTAAGCTTCACGTTGGTGCAGTAGGATTCTCCGTATGTGGGTCTTTTTTGCATGGTCAAACAGCATGGGAGAAGAGAGAAGGGATGAAGCAACTCAATGCAGCAGGTGTCAATGCTGGATTATTCTCCCATCTAATCCTTCTGTGACATACCATATCCTTTGGTATTTAGCATATAAAATCTATTTATAAAGATTTCTTTAGTATTTAGCATATGAAATCTATTTATATAGTGATTGTCTTATGAAATCTGTTATGTAGTTGAGAAAATCTCTCTGTTATCAAATAGGACCGGAAAAAGGCTTCGACTTGATATGCATAATCTCATATTCTAACTATCCGTATAGACTATGAAAAATAATCAGTATTAGGATCAAGACAGTAATTACAGTGGGTCATATCACTTCCCTCGTTGAGCCAACTCCTTTGATGCCATTCATCTCTCTCTTAAGTTAGCATAAAATAATTAATTACTTAATTTAAAATTAAAATATTTATTTTCTTAGTACGAAATCCTCCATCTTCTCCTATTCTTCTTCTTCTTCTTAATCTTGGATAGAGAGGTATAATCTTTGACTCTTTTTTATAAATTTTTTTCATCTTTAGGATTCTTAATTTATGACATTACTTGATAATAATTTTAAAGATTAAATGCACATTATTAAGATGTTATTTATAATGCCTCATTCTTGTAAATATATTTCTTTATTATTCATGCATATCTTTAACACTTCAACTATGTTATTCTTGAATGATTTTATTATGATTTATTTTTTTCATTCAAATCCGTGTATGATATGATTTTTTTTTTTCTTTCCATTCACAACAGATACAAAGCTTATCCTATAAATAAAATCTCTTCATCCACTATTATTATACGAGATAGCACTAATAAATATTGAGCCTATGCATTGCATAAAAATTGAAACATGATATTGATATTGATATTTAATATGATTTGATTGATATGATTTCATAATTCATATTGTTTTATGATTTCTTATATGTTTTAAAAGGATATTTTGATAATTTATTTTATTTTTCAGTGTAGCCTTGTAAGATCATTAAGTCTACTCTCAAATCGACTGGTTTGATATTTGTAGAAATATTGTCATGTTGGGTATTATGAAAAATTAGATAGTGTTATTGATAGTCAATCCATAATAAATCATAAAATCGTTAGCAATGACTAATGAATTATACATAACTAAACTACAGACTCATTATAATTAAGATCATAGGCAAAGAATTAACATAAAATTATTAAAACATCCATCATGCTATTAAGAAAAAAACATCTCCCAAATCATTCTTTAGCCTTCATGTTTTTTAAATAGGATTTGATTTGATCCAACAAGAATATTTTAATCTCCATATATTCCTCGTCACGTTAGTTTCTATATATTAGGGGAAAATATCATTCACGTTTTGATCAGCCTAATATGATCTAGACCCATATGCATAGGATTATCTGAAGCTTTCTCAAGGTGAGAGTGTCATGCCCCTTAGGTGCTCCCTACATAAAGACTAAGGTCGAAAGAGGTTTCATGATTCGAAACTTCTGACGCTCAAGTTAGTCTCCCCCAAAAAAGAGATTCACCCCTATTAAGAATGTATTTTTATATCTTGAAGGATAAGAAGGAAGCTTGGGATTGTCTTTGTTGCCATAAAGGAGGAGAAGAAAGTTTTATGATTATCTTCCTTATCATAATAAATGGGAAGGAAGCTTATGTTTCCCTATTATTTACCTTCTGCCCCAAAAAACATGCTTTGAGACTCTTGTGAGAGGGGTTTGAAGTGCATTATTTAGTTTATCCAACATGTGAGCATTCGAGATCTTGTCTTACGAGTATGATTTTCATAAATCATATGTCTAAAGCATATTGAGTATGTGTTTCTATCGTAATGGACTTCTCTTAGTGTGGGTTAGATTTTCTCGACTTACATACCTCGAACACATTTTGCCTCGCGTCTCTACCATGATAGATTTTTCTTAGCATGGGTTGGATTTTTTGACACACATGTCTTAGGCACATATGGCCTTGTGCCTCCATCGTGATGAATTTACCTTAGTGCAAGTCATGTTTCCCATGTCATATTCGTCTAACAAATTTTGCCCCATATCTCCATCATTGCGGATTAACCTTGGCATGAGTCAGGTTTCTCGATTCACATATCTCGAGTACATTTAGTCCTGCGGTTCTATCATGATAGACTTACCTTAGCACGGGTCAGGTTTCTTGACTCATACGCCTTTGGCATATTTTGTTTCACATGTCTTCCTTAGTGAATTTACCTTTGTGTGGATCGAGTTTCCTGACTCACATGCATTAGGCATATTTTGCCCAATATCTTCGTTGTGGTAGATTCACCTTGGCGTGAGTTAGGTTTTCTGACTTACACACCTCGATTACATTTGGCCCTATGCTTCTGCAATGGTGGACTTGCCTTGGGATGGGTTGAATTTTTCGACTCATAAACCTCAGACACATTTAACCCTATGCTTTCACCGTAGTGGATTCAGGATCTTCTTACTATAATGGGCTTTAAATTCTCCCTCCATCGTGGTGAATTTCAAGTCTTCTCTCCTTCATGGCTGGCTTCAAATTCTCCCTTTGTTATGGTGGATTTCAAGTCATTTCTCGATCATGATGGATTTGGATCTTCTCGTAGTGGTGGGCTTTGAGTTCTCACTCCACCATTGTGGACTTCAAGTCCTCTATTCGCCATGGCGGGCTTCGAGTTCTTACTCCACCATGACATATTTCAAGTCATCTACGTTGTGCTAGGTCTTAGACCTTCCTTCTATGACAGATTTTAAGTTCTCGCTTCGTCATGGTGGATTTTAAGTCCTCTCTCAATCATGGCAGGTTTCGAACCTTCCTACCACAGTAGTCTTTTTGGGATTTGCCCCCTGAAGGGACACTTATCTTGATCGTAAGTAGAGAGAGACCAGTCTCCTCCTTATAAATCCCCTCCTCCTATAGGGTGAGATTCATTCTTCTATATGAGTCTCTTGAGTCTAGAATCTTCGGGAGTTTTCAACCTTACGCCCAAGGCCTCCTTAGGAGTGATAGTCATAGGTGCCCTGCAAGCCTTTAACTGCATGTGTTGGTTTTAAACTACGTGTGTTATATTTTAGAAAAGATTTTAACGTGTTTTAGAAAAGCTTTTATCAAGCTGGGATCCATAATCATCTGGTGTTATTACTTATGTGATGTGTGATTTCTCTTTTATATATATATATATATATACATGCGATGTAGATATATATTAAATATGTATGTGCGACACGTCATAGGAGACCAAATTAAAATCTCCTCTCTCGATAATATTAAGTTGGTAAACATGAGGTAATTAAATTAACCCACATGACCTTTCATCATTATAGGTAGGAATCGATTCTTGATGTAGGTTGAGTTGGTTGAGTCCCTCGAGGCTCACCTATATCATGAATCACTATCTTGCCTACGATATAAAGATATCACCAGTGACCCGAGGACATAATATGCTTTGTCGAGTTCCTCAAAGGTATATCATCGAATCAGACTCATCTTATAACAACAGTGATGACTTAACCGAACATCATGATTGGTCTAGGCCCTCGAGGCCATAGTTGTTCGGAGGTCAAAAAAGATGGGAATTATAAAGAGTTATGATTGGCAAGAGTTGCATACCTTTTTAGGTTTAGTATGATTGGTCGAGTCCCTCGAGATTACAGTAAGATATTGATTGGATCTTGATCCCCACTAAAAGTCTACCGAATACTTCTGTTTTGTTAGGACCGTGAGGACACTAAGATGGGGGGGTGGATGAATTAGTGCTTTCGATAAAAATGATGTTAATTCAAAGATTCGTTCGATAAAGCTTGTATTCGAAAAAGTATTTAAACTTGAAAACATTTGTAAGTGATTGAGGGTAGTGAGTAAGTAACTTAGTGAGTAATGAGAATGAAAAGTATGAAAGAAATGACATAGAAATAAAGCTCACTAGATTTATAGTCTTTCGGTCATTGTGACATACGTCCACTCCTGATTCCTCTTCACTCGAGGCTACCGGCTTCCACTACCGATCTTCTTTCCAACGGATGAAGATCAATGACCATTTTACACCTCTTTTTCTCCTTTTCACAGGTTTAAGAGATAACTTTTACAACCACTCACCTCTCTCTTAAACTTCACTAAACACTTAGAGCTTGAGAGAAGTTCTCACGATATTACAATAGAGTTGTCTTTCTTTCTTGCTCTCAGTTCTTCTATAAACTGAGCAAGGATGAGTAGGGTTTTAATAGGTCTCAAATGGATTCAAATTTAGAGCCAAAAATTTGAATCCTTGGGATTTAGGGATACTAGACAGTACCGTCACCAATACTAGGCGGTACTTGCTAGTCATAGGTTTGTAAGCCAATCACGTGAGTGATGGCACGTGTGACTTGACACGCAGTCTTTTTGTTTATTATTATTATTTGATATTTTATCACTTTGTATTACCTATTGCTTGA